TTAGCATAATAGTTACACTTGTTTGGGCCCAAATCCTCTTAATTTCCTTAATGCTTTTTTCAGTATTACTCAACCCCTTCAAAATCAACGTTCTCAATTCATACATGGTTGGAGGTTTGAATCTTCTCGCATATGCTCCAACTGTTCGAATCATGTTGTAGTAAGCAAGTGATGTTGCAACATTAAAAGGGGTTGCATTTTCATAGAAGAATTTATCTATATCCATACATACTCTTTTATGTGCCTGCTTAGCATTCTCTAGGGTCACCCTCTGTGCAATAGGAGACCTATCCTTTGATGTTTGAACCATGTAATGATCCATGAGACCCCTTGCACCCCTAGATGATATGGGTTGCAATAAAGAAGATGAATCTTAACCGTTACGCTCACTCCTGTAGTAGGAGCAAATATAGACTCTATCCTCAAACTGCTTTTATGAAAGATACTTTGACATGATAGACTTATTCATGTATATTTTTATCTATTCCTTGACTATATTAGGCACGTTGGCCATGTTGTAACATTTTTGTGAGACTCGGAAGTGTGCTCCTTCATGCTAGTCACATCACCTTTCACTATTTTGTCACATTAATTAAATTTCAAATATATGTATGATTTGTCAATGCCTCCCACGTCCACTTGAGTGCTATGTTTCTATGTTGGATCCATTCTATAACCTGATGCAGTTTTATCTCTGCTTCTGACCATCCTTTACAAAACCCTACAATAAAATATTCAATCTTCACATTAAATATTGAAACTTTCTCATAATTAGAGCATGAATGCATTGACGATCAACCCAATAAAATATTGAGGTAAAATAGAGACAAACTGATCACAATAATTCAAAGTTCTAAACATATCATAAATATCTAAACTTTCCAAGAAGACAAGAATTTTTATATTTATCCACTTTCTCATCCATAAATATCACTCTCATGTGTCCTCTGAAGTGCAAGATTGTCTTGATATTGATTTTGTTGCAAGTAAAAACTCTATATCAACCGTTGCTAAGGAATCACAATCGGAGGAGGCTAAGAGATAAGATTTCAATGTCCCCATGAGAGCTCACAATTGAATAAGAAAACATGGTGGCAAGAGTTTGAAATTTGCAAACGTAAAGTATGATTGGAACTACTTTAAGAGAAAATGAAGCACGCTTTTTAAATTAAGTCAACTTTGTAACTTTTAATTCATCAACTAACAGTAATATTAAAATTTCCTGAATATTCCAACTAGATATTTACAGAAGTGAACTAAGGTGGTATACAAATGTTAATAATTTAAAGCGTAGAGTGTTTGTTAGATAATACAGAACGTTTAAAGTGGCACACAAGTGAACATCACATATGATTGGAATAAAACCATTCATTTTGGTGTTTCACAAAACTAAGAATGTCATTTTAACCATATAACACATAAACCATCCATTCTCTACAAAGCTTTATGAAAAATCAATTTGTCATAAACTTTATAACTTAATTCCCATAATTAATTTTAATGCTATTAATGAAATCGACTGTCTCTATTTTAGATGCAACAATGTCAAGGACCAGCAAACGAAAAATGTAAATTACCGGAATGGCTGATCGCAATACTCTCGTACAATATATTCATGGTTATGTGAATTTTTTGTTTATATTTTTCCCTACTTAGTTAACTGTTATGTAACCAAAAAAATGATTGAGCTAAGGTTATCCTTCCACATTATTGCAGCAAAGTTTAAGGAAAATAAATTTACTAAAAAAAAAAAACTCTATGAAAAATGAGAAATCTTTGAAAAAAGCATGTGAATAGCAACATACCGAGCGAGATTAAAAACTAGAAATGGGAGAAACTGTTGCAGAGAGCAAACACTTACTTCAGATCGAACCTGGAATGTCGTCGAACCTTCCTGACTTTTGATCCAATAGGGCACGTTTGAAGTGGGCTCTACCTACGACTCCACATACGAATGTTCGAAGAAGGCAATGAAGTTTTTAGACATCGTCGAAGAAGGTAATGAAGCTTTTAGCGAACGTCCGAAACTCTACCTGTGGTGCTTTAGGCGATGTCAAATAAGAGGAATGTAGCTGTAGCCGAAGCCAAAGTGCAGGAACGCAAGCCAAGACGAAGAGCACGAATGAACGAATGAAATGATCGATATTAGGTTTATGTTTTAAATAAGCCCTTTTTAGAGGCAAATGCCTCGCTAAAGTGAGGCAAAGCGCACCTGAAAGCGCACATCTGCTGATTTGAGGCGTATGCCTCGCTGAACATGTTCGAAGTGCATGCCTCAACATGTAAATGGACTGAATTGCGCTGAAGCGCACCTCAAGGCATGCCTCTTGTTGCACAATTTTAAACCATGTCTCTAACCTTTACATTTAACTATTAAACCTAAGATCTAAGAATGTTGATAGGCTAAATTTCTTATCCAGTCTTTCTCAAAAAATTGGAGTCGACACGACTTTGATTAACATGAGAAAATATTTTCATAAAATTCACCTAGATATTTAATTTTTAGTTTACATTAGGCCTTCAAAGCCTCCCTAAATGAATTTCATCATAAAAAATACAACCTCTCGATTTCAACATTCACACAATAACTGATTAAATTAATAATCGAACTTGATCCTCTGTTGGCAAACAAACATGGTTAACAAAGTTCAAATAACAAAAATTTGGATTATTTAAATCCGCGATGAGGATCATGTTGAAAATAAATGTCAATTAGAAGGGATTATGCCTTTTTAATGCCTCAAAACTCCTATCAAATACAAAATATTTTTAAATGACTTAAACGACACCTTGATGATGATAGTGTAGAAAGTGAATCTCCATGAGAGGGGACTATATATTTTCAAATGCCTAAAAAATTGATGAACTATAAATGTATTTAAAGTAACTTCAACGTCCCCCGATGATGATAGTATTGCAAGGTAATTTCAATTAAAAGGATCAATATTCAAAATCTATCAAAAACATCAAATTTTAAATCCCTCAAAATTTCAACATTTAAAGTGAAATTTTGTCGGTTATAATTTAAAGCAAAACTTATCCACCTACCCCAGCTATTTGGTGAGGGCGATGAATTCAAGAAGAATCTCAGCTCATAATGAGTAAATCTCTAATTGAGAATATCAATAAGATTCATTTTTAAATAATCTCCTACAAATAACAACGTAATATGTGTCCTCTAATCGATGGTTTGATCTAACGGTTGCACAAAATCAATGGTTTAGCTCAACGGTTCTTATGTGTTAAATAGTTATGATCGAGGTCCTTTTGATTGGGTGGTTTGGCCCAACGATTCTACTTTATTTTAATAAGAGTTGTAGCTTTTATGTTCATCAATGGCTATTACTTTTGAGTAATGAATCATATGGCAGACTCAATAGTGCAGAAAGCCATATGTTAGTTAAGGTTGACTTGCATTTGCCCCTTAGACAAATATTCTCTTTAAGTCTATAAAATACCCTTATACGAATCAACCCATAGCTGTAGATAAAGATTCTTCAGTTAGGTTGGGTCGACTACCTTCTCTGACTAAGTAGATTAGTGACCATGGCAACTCGGGACGATGGAACCATGTGATTTTGATTGGGTTCGTCATCTTTCACTCACCATCTGCTTTAAATAAAATGGTGGTAAATTTCTAATTTCAATCTTAAAAATCTAAAATTGTTGTTATTATATGCTGGGTATTAAGTCTATGTAACGACTAACCTTAATCATTAGTGCTCTTCCATAACTGGAAGGGGTAATTAACCATAGGGGCTTGCTCCTATGCGAAACCTGAATTAAGTTCGTAAAGTCCTCGCCAAATGAGGGTTACAATTTTGGATAGTGTATTATCTCTAACTAATCTATTTACAAAAGTTTACTTATGAACTTCATCCATTCAAACTCTCCTCAAATCATGTGGAGAGATCGAGGCACTACAAAAAAATCGATTGCCACAACCTTGAAAAAGTCTCTACATCATCTTTAAGAAAAACAATGAAATTTATTTTACAAATTATGGAAGTCCACCCTCCTCCCCCCTGATGAGAAATGGTTCTGAATGTATACCCTAGCTATTAAATTCTAGCATCATTATTATGGAACTATGAAGGTGTATGGGTGATTGATCTGTTGTAGATGCGTCCAGTTGTGGCTAACATTGAAAAGCACGAGAAAGGCTAACAGTATGTTGATTTTTATGATGCTAGGACTGATGATCGTCTCTCAAGTCAGGAAGTCTACAATGGAATTAAATTTTGGATTGGCTATTCAGTCACTCTTAATTTTAGATGTGAGGTTACTTTCAAGCATTACGTTGTGTACCCCATGTGCAATTTTGAAAACTATAATCAGTATTGATATTATTTTTTTGTAGAATTAGTTACAATTGATTAAGCTTAGGTGCTAAATTTTTAGTGGTTTGCTGGAATTTCTTTTGACTTGTCAATCAAAACAATTTCTTCATTTGGCATTATTTGTATTGTCCGATTGGGGCTGTCCATGCAAATGAATTGGGTGATGTTAATCAACATATTTGCACCACTTCAGTAAGTCCGAAGAATTGAACCTTTTAGCTTTTTGTGTTAGATTGATGCTATTTATGATAATTTAACACTTGTGGTCCTATCTGCTAGGTTACAGCAGAAGTGGTGGTTATCTCTTGTTGTGTCCTAATCCTTAATTTGAATTTGAGATAGGATATTATATTCGTGTGAGGCATTTGCAATCCCATGCAATATAAGTTTGGGGGTTTCCATGGGATGCATCTTATTGCATGCTATATTTAGGTTTAAATAGAAAACTTTCTTTCCTCTCTCCATTTGTTACTAGACCTTTTGTGAGATGGCATAATTGGACATTTTCTAGTAATAAGTTCTTGTTTCATTACATACTAACTGAGCATGGTTACATTTTTTTTAATGCAGTTGGATAGTTTGATGAATCTTCTATATTGTGGCGTTTGTATCAATCACCTCGAACTTTGCATTTGAAGTGTTCGGTGTTTACCCTTGTAGGCAGCCAAGCTGGAGCCCAATCAAATGGCAGCCCGGTATGCCATTGCTCTTCAACGGATCAAAGATGCTGAACGGTTTCAAGAATGTAGTGATCAGATATCATGGGCAGCAAACGAGATGGCTTCTATTCTTAAGGAAGGAGATCCTGCAATGATTGATCTTCCAATAACCTGGGCAGGCTTGGCAATGGCTCACAGAGTAGAACATGAAATTACGGCAGCATGTGAAAGTGGACAAAAGGAGCTTGCAGAGGTTGAGGAGCGGGCTCTTTATACATTGAAGCAGGTAATCATCATGATTAAGGCTACGCACTATTTAAACACAATCTTATTTGTATGGCTTTGCTCATTTTAGACTTTGTTTTGGTAATGTTATCATCGGGCTCTATATTGTCTGTATTAGTTAAAATAAACACATGCATCAAATTCATGCAGTTTTTAAAACTATAATTTGCACATAAAAAATTATAAAATAAATCATATGGCTATTTTTATTTGTGAAATTAAGAAAATTTAAACAACTTTTTTTAGTCCTTAATTTGATTTTTTTTTTCTGTTTTGCTGAAATATTTATTGAAATTTTTTATAAGAAACATGTATTTTCGTGATTGAAACATAGTTCAAACTCAAGGTGAAAATATTTTTGGTATATATTTTTATGCAATCAAATACCTGTTAATACATTAGTAATCTTATTATATGTGATCAACTTAATTTGTTCATTATAATTTTTTTGATTGTAAAAGGTTTTTTTTTGTTAATAGGACATTTTTTTTTAGATTAGAAAATTTAGTGATTATTTTTTAGATTGTAAAAGTAAAAGGCTTTTTTTTTGGTAATAGGGTATTTCTTTTTGAGATTAGTGATATTTATATGATGTGGAGATCAAATCGGCTCCCAAAACAATCACTAGAACAAATTCAACACCAAAGAGCAAAAATCAATCACAAAAAAAAGAAAAAAAAAACAAACAACAATGGTATGCATGAACAATATTAATAAAGATGAAATAATAACCTTCAATCAAAAGAAACAAAAGATACAAATAATTTACTCTTCAAGAGGTAAATGGCTCTCCCCCAATTCCTAGTAGCAACTTGGAACCCAAAACAACCAAGAAAATTACTCCAGAATTTTTTTTATTAAACTATTTCTGCACTTCCTGATATGCATAGCAAGGAAGAATTGCTTATTAATTTGTAGGAGACTGGATTCATTTTATATGTACACAACCTTTCTTGCATTTCTTACTTAAATATGAATTTTTTAAGGCAATTGAAGAGGGTCCAAATGATGCGGCGCAATGGCATCAACTTGGCCTACACAATCTTCGGGTTCTGCAGTTCAATACAGCTGTAGGCTTCCTTAAGGTTGCTGTAGCCCGATGCATGGAATGCTGCTATGCATGGTCTAATCTTGGTAAATATCCGTTTTTCCTCTCTTTTTATTATTGTCTTCTTTGGTAGCATAAAAACAGTTAACTTTAGGCGGTTTGATCATCTCGCATTTACTTTTTTTTTCCCAAATTTAAGATGGTGCTGTTGTGGGCTGTTCTATATGAACTTTAAAAAAAAAAAAAGTCTATATGACAACTTTGAAGTACAAATATAACCATGAGAAACAAAGCAGTACTTGTGTATGAGTTTAAATATATCGAAGGTGAAGGATGATGCATCGCAAAACTACATTGCTTTATATACCTAACGTCAATGTCAGCCCGCTTATGCATTATTGTACAAATGAAAGTTTTGATGAGCATTTGCTGAACAAAAATGCAAGACATGAGATCTATACTACTACAACAACAACATTAAGCCTTTATCCCACTACGTGGGGTCGGCTGCATGAATCATTTTTCTCCATTGTGTTCGGTTAAGAGTCAAATTCTCATTTAGATCTAAAAAAAAAGTCATTTCTAGTATTTTCTAACCAAGTCTTTTTAGGTTTACCTCTACCTTTCTTAACATAGGTTAAATCTAATACATCTACTCTCTTAACCGTGTCATCGAAAGGCTGTCGTTTTATGCGACCAAACCATTTAAGGTGACTCTCTCTAATCTTATCTGCCACTTGAGTTACTCCATCCTTTTCACGTATATGCTCATTTCGTAACATTAAAGTATTCTTTATATAATAACCCTTAAAAAATATTTTTTTTATGTATGCCATAACATTAAACCAATAAATTGCATGTTAATTTTATTTTGAATTTTGCTTATAAACTGAATACATGTTGAAAGCAATATTGATATTTCAAATATATTATCAAATGCCCCAATAACAAATAGTAAAATAGAGTGCAGAGGTAGTTAACTCATTATGGAGATAATGAAAGGGGCTTTGTATCTTTACATCCAAAATAGTTGAGTTTATTATGTGACTATTAAGTTCAAGGAAACCCTTTATTTGAGTGGGCAATGTCCAATAACCTGCAGAATTTTGGATCTAACAAGTGGCATGATTGTGTTAAATCGGTTATTGGATCTATGCTGGAGTAAAGGAAAAATGTTATTTTGTACTAATTAGTGTGGAGTACTTGGTTTTCATTTAAATATATCCTTAAAATATAACAGAATTTTCTTCAGTATGTTTTTAGTGTTGAAACTGATTATTTTATGTGGGCAAATGATTTCATGCAGGTGTGGCTTTGCAGCTTTCAGATGACCCATCCTTAGCAGAAGAGGTTTACAAACGTGCTCTGTCCTTGGCCACTGCACAACAAGCCCATGCTATTCTCTCAAATCTTGGAAATCTCTTCCGCCAGCAAAGAAGATTTGAATATGCAAAGATAATGTTTGAAAAATCATTGGAGATTTGTCCGGGATATGCACTCGCACATAACAATCTTGGCCTGGTTTATGTGGCTGAGGGCAGGTGGGAAGATGCTACAAACTGCTTTGAGAAGGCTTTGCAATCAGATCCTCTTCTGGACGCTGCAAAATCCAACATGATCAAAGTAGCTGCCATGTGTACTACTGCAGGTTCCTCCAAGTGATGCGAGTTTTTTAAGAACTTTCTTTTAGAATAATTTGATTGACTAGATGAAGATTTCATCTAGATGCTTTTATACATCTTTCTGCTGGGGTATGAGACAAGTACTCATTTAGAAACTTCTAAATTATCTTGAACACAACTAAATTAAAAAATGGGGAAAACATAAACAATGTATGCATTTGAAGAGTGTTGAATTGATCTATGTGATACATAATTCCATATTGCATAAAAAAATTAGTCACTAACTTGCATAATTAATAAGCACTATCACTTCAAATATAAATATAAATAAACATGATTGAAGAAGTTGAAATGTTAGAACTAGAAATATTCAAGCTGTACACAATTATTTCTAAACTACGTGTGTTCGTTGAAAAAAAAAATCAAAAAAAGACCCGTCGTATTAACTTTCGCGGCTGCGAGCGAGGTTCTATCAATTCCTAGATGGATTTGAGACTCTTGATGATAGAGGAATATTAAAAATTGCTAATCTTTCACTTAATGAGCTTGAATTAGAAGCTAAGATATATATTGAAGATGATATAGAAGTTCAAAGACAAACCATTAAAGAATCTAATCATATCATTTCTTCTATTGAATAGTTGAAACTTCATATGCTAGATAATTTATGTTTATGCTTTTGTTGTTGTAGTAGACATTTAATACTTTATTTTGGTATTATAAGCTACAAGGATACAAATGATATTACTTTCAATTTTTTTGTAATTTCAAATATTATGTTTTGATTGCATTCTTAATTTTTATGTATAATTTATAAATTATAATGTTGTGTCTGTGCCGTACCTGTATTATTTATTTTTAAGAGTTGATGTGTCCCGTATCTATATGATGTCGTATGTGTCGTTGTATCTGTTTTGATGCAACATAGTTGATAGCTAATGCCAACAATTATTGATGTTGCTTAGTGGTAAGCGAGCAATGTTAATCGATGACAATGATCATTGGTGTTGATCAATGGATAGAGTATTATGATTCTTTAAATTCAAGAACTCCCCTCCTCAAGGTCCTCTGAAAACCAATTTATAAATTTTGTACGGTGAATTTTAATTATTTTATCCAAATCCTAGACATTTTCTTCTAACAACTTAAAATGTTTTTTCTTCGTCATTTTATGAACATTTGATTGTCTTAAGGATATTAAAATTAAGGCATCCATAATTCCTATAAATATCTTCAAAATAATTATGAATATCTTTAATTTTTTTGTTTGGTTTTTTATGCCAAAAGAAGAAATTTATGAGCATAAATGTTCAAAAATTGTTGCAATTATCTTCAAATTTATACAATTTTCTTAAACATTTATAAATGTCTTCAAATGTTTGTATTTTTAAACCACCACAATTAAACGACATTTAGAATTAGAAATCATGAATTTTTAACATTAAGTTTTAAATATTCTATACTATTTAAATAATGTAAATTTAGTCATAACCTAGATAATTGTAATTTTATTAATTTTGATGATGCACATGTATAATCCCATATCATTCCAATCTTTAATACTAAAATCATATAATGTTTACTAACACACAAAAAAAATATATATTATATGAAAATCTAAGGGGTTGTTGGGGATCATCTTTGTTTTTTGTTTTTAATTTTTTTAATTAAGTTTTTTTTAATATTTATATTTTAAAAATATACGTTATATGTTAATGCGGTGGTAAAGACAGTCGCCAACAAGACAAAGATGGTGGCCATGCTATAGATGTCAATGACGATGGTAACAATTACCTATGATCTCAGCGTCGACAATGTTAGCATTTGAGGTCACTAATAGCATAAATGGGGAACAAGGATGAACAAAGACCGACAATAATTATAATTATTTTCAAAAATACCCAAAAGCGCCCAAAACTTCTTTTGAGTGTTTAAAAAACTTGATTTCTTTAAAAAAAAAATAAAAATAAAAATAATTTAAAGAACAAACTAAAGAAATATTTTTAAAAATAAAAAAAGACCCTTGTTGAATTCAACTCTATCCATAGATGACACTCGACTTTATTAGCAGTCATACTTGATGAGCTAGTAAGCTAGAACCTATGGGCGCGAATAAAGAGCGGAAAGAAGAGCTAGAGAGGAAGTTAGAATACACATAAAGCTCAAGGAAATTATAATTGTCAAGCTAGAACCTATTGTAGGCCACCTTTGAAGTCAATCAAATTTCTCTATAATGACGCACGAGCTTCCTACTAAATATCTATAGAAATAGACACAACCATACAACCACAAATAGATCCTAAACAAATTAAACTCGCACATATCATTCTTTTGTTAACACCCATACCATAATCCTATGATGGGAAAATTATTAGGTCCGGTCACCGGACCTAAAAATAGGTCCGAACATTAATAAAATATTGACATGTGAAATGTACACGTGTCATTGGAATTTTAAGTCAAGCGCATCAAAAGCGCATAAGCGTAGATAAAGCGCAGGTAAAGTGCAAGTAAAGCGCAATCAAAAAAAGCAGTCAAAACACACTTAAAGCACAATTAAAGCTCAGTCAAAACGTAGTCGAAAAACGCAATCCACATGACAAGTTATAATTGGATGTCCGAACCTATTTTTAGGTCCGCTGACGGGGCCTAATAATTTCCCCCTATGATGACACAAATGGATTGCTAAAATGGATAGTTTTGCAGAGAACCAGCGTTTATATAAATTTAAGGGCCTTCCTTAATTCACTGTGCAGTTTGTCTGGAGCCTTTAATGGAAGACTTAGCTTGATCAACAGTTTTCAAAGCATTTCTTTTTAAATGTATGGGCATTTAAAAAAAAACAAAATAATTAGTTTAGCCAATATAAATAGCAGCCTCACAAATTAGTTAGTTACCCAATTTAAGTAGGTTGATAAAATTTAATTGTTATGTGAATATAAACTTAGTTGACAAAAATCTTAAAAGTTATTGTTATAATCTTATATTGGAATTTGGCCCACCCAACATTGCAACAATAAGAACAACAACAGAACTATGCTATTAACCACCTTGCATTATTTACAAAGAATGATGAAAAGAGAGGAAGGGGAGCAATGAAAGCGAAAGAAAGAAGAAAAACAGAAGACAAGAGCATTAACTCCCAAATTTCAGACAGAAATGTTTCACTTTAAAATGCAAAATCAAAATGTGTGAGTAAATCTTATGAGCATTACTAGTTTGGATTTTCAGCAAGATCGGGAGATGGAACAGCAGCGGCGGCCGGAGGTGGAAGAGGTGGAGTGTACACTTTAGCCCGACGAAGGATCTCCGCTACAACCCAATGCTTGTGCCTACTAAGCGGCCTAGATGGATCCAATCTAACCTTTAAGAACAAAGAAGCCGAACATTCCATGTCAAATAAAGAAGCAAGCAAGCAGAAAGTATCTTAAACTTTAGATAAAACAAGGACAATTTATAATGACTGGCTTGTTTAATAAGAATGCGATGACAAAAAATCAAAAAGATAATATTTAGGGCATCTCCAATGGAACGGCAGACAACTGTTTGCCGTTCTTCCGTCGCTCCAATCAAGCGGCAATTTTGCCCCTATTTCATCGCGGGTGAACAGAGCAATGTCAATATTGGCGTCGTGCTGTTCACCTGCTATTTGTTTTTTTTTTAATTCGAAAATTAATTATTAGTGAAATATAAGAAAGAATATATTAGGAATATTCTTTTTTTGGTGTTGAAAAATGAATTTTAGTTGAAGACAAGTTACTGCATTTTTATGTATTACTGCATTTTGGAGTTAAAAAAATGAGTTTTTCGGTTGGAGATGCCCTTAGGACGAACTTTTATTTGGTCCGGTCACCTAACGTAGCTCTATGTTCGGACGCCAGTAAATTAGTGCCACGTGTTCTCACTATTTATCGCGCAGCTCGACAACCCGACCCGTAACGGAGCCGGGATTGCTATGTTTGCGTATTGCTAGGTATTACTCGGTATTGCTAGACATTGGTCGATTTTATTCGGCAATAACGAGAAATACCATTCTGTGAAGACCAATACCGAGCAATACCGAGAAATACCGAGCAATACCGAATTTTTCTCGGTATTGCTAAGTATTTCTCGGCATTACAGAGCGATATTTCTCGTTATTGTCAAGCAATACCTAACAATACCGAGCAATACCTAGAGCAATACCGAGCAATACTCGAACATAGCAATCCCGGGTCAGGTCGTCGGACCGCGCTATAAAGAGTAAGAGCACGTGGCGACATATTATTGGTGTCCGAATGTAGAGCTACATCAGGTCACTTGACCTAATAAAGTGTTCGCATACAATGCAGAAATCAATGAATGTATCGGCAAACCAAACAAAGGCAATTTGGGAGAAAAGATGGTGGCGAGAAGTTCCAAGAAAAGTATGATAAAACAAGTTTTCAGAAATCAATCGTGAGTGTTATCAATTGCAAGTGTCTTCTGGCAATGCATCAAATTCTTCACGAAGCGGTTTCAGGCAAGACAGCCACCTCGACGGGCATAACCATTAGTACCTGATGGAAACCATCTGCCAAATTCTATAGCACAATCACGAAGAAACATCACTATAGAAGCTGCAGTGCAATCTGATGTGTTATCCAATTAGTTTGTTTTTAATTTAATCATACTGATCACAAGCTTATTTCATTTTATGTACCTAGGATAGATTTCATAATTCTTTTGATATTTTTGCCATTATCTACATTTAAAAGACTATTGAAAACAAGGTTCAAGACTTTAGCCTATAAATAGACCATCAAAGGGTTTTAAGCATTAATGAAAAGAATCGTAATTGTTGAGGTTTTCCTATCTGATTGCCATAGCTTCGCCAATCTCTCACTTCATTTCTCATCATAAGTAAATAATTATCTCACCATTATATATATATATTCTCTCATTCAGCACTCCATATCTGATAGGAAACATATGCAGAAATCGATTGCTCAAATTGAAATTTCAGCAATATAGAACCGGAGATAGAAAAGAATCTTCTGGCAAAAACATCTAAATAGCCATTAGATTGATGAAATACGGAGAAGACAAACAAGGTACAATGGATCTTCTATTAGAGAGGAAGATTCGGCTCTCCTAAATTTCTAGACACCGTTAGAGCCCAAACAAGAACTAATAACCAAAAAATTTCTGCTAAAATAAGGTGAAAACCTGATTTTAGCCACCAAAACATACAATAATTAGGTAAACTCCAAAACAGATCTTCTATTTGAATTTTCCCTCATAAATACCCCATTAATTCCCCCTAATTAAGCTTATGAACCCCCCTATCAAGGGGAGATAGAGATGGGGGCAGAACTTCTACTATTCTGCCTCCTATAAATCTGGACCAGTCCTGGTTGGATCGGGTTGGGTTGACCCAACAACCTGAAATCAACCCGGTTTGACCCGCCAGCGAGTTCGGACCCGTTCGCCTCATGTATGGAGTCCTGAGACAACTAGAGAGCTAGGTAGGCGCAGACGCACCTCGCTACGTCTGTAGTTTAGCAGTTGGCACGACGGCACAGGCGCACCGCGCTAGGTCAATAGGCGGTAGGTCGGTAGTCGGAAAAATAAAAAAGTTTTTGTTATAAAAATTAGTTAAGATGTAAAAATTCTGATAATTAGGAAAGATATAAAGAGGCCTGCAAGGAGTCTAAGAAAACAATATGTGATGCATAGATTTTAGCTTTTAATGATTTATATATTAGATTAGATAATAATGAGGGCAAAAGATATATGTATAAGTTAGTCAAATAAAGAGATAGGAGTAGTAAGGATTTAGTTCAAGTGAAGTGTATTAAGGATGAATATCAAAAAGTACTTTATTAGAAAAGAATATTCAAAAAAGGATGATGAGATATTTTGTTAAACTTTTTAAAGAAGATTGTGAGAATGTGATTGACTTTAATGACATTAGCACCCTAAATAAAAATAAAGATTTTTATTTTTATTGTCGTATTAGTAAAACCGAAGTTAGAGAGGCTTTAAAGAAAATGAAGTGTGAAAAAGCTGTTGAACCTGATGATATTCCAATAGACGTGTAGAAATGCTTAGGAGATGAAAGAATTTCTTGACTTACTAAACTTTTTAATATTATTTTAAAGACTACAAATATGACATATAAGTGGAGAACAAGTGTGTTGATTCCTATTTTAAAGAATAAAGATGATGCACAAGATTGTTTGAATTAAGTTAATGTGTTATACTTCAAAACTATGGGAGAGAGTTATTGAGTATAGGTTGCGGCGTGATACTAATGTTTCTCAAAATCAATTTGGATTCATGAGGGTAGGTCTACTATGGAAGCTATACATTTATTGAGATGTTTGATGTAGAAGTATATAGAGAATAAAGAGGATCTACATATGATATTTATTAATTTAAAGAAAGTATATGAGAAAGTTCCAAGAGAAGTGCCATGGAGAGTTCTAGAAAAGAAAGGAATTAATAATGCTTATATTCAAGTCATTAAAGATATGTATGCAGGAGTTGTTAACCTTTTGAATAACACAACATCCATGAATAAGGTCTTGGGATGATTTAATTTTAAATCTTGATGTAGGCAAGGGGGGGTCAAAACAACTTGGGTCCTTTTTGTCATTTGGGTTGCTTGTTGTATTTCAGTTTGGGCCTTGGCTGCTCTCTAGTTGGGCTTTGGCTACTTGGTTTTGAGCTAAAAAAGTTGTGTTCTAGTTGGTGCTAGCTCATTAATTCTTGAGCTGAAGTTTAGCTCATTATTTAGAGTAATTGCACTTCCTAGCTCATAAATTCATAAAGGTATGTCGAGTGGAGCTTGTTTTTTCCCATTCTTGTGTCTCTTTGGTTTCTTCCTTGTGAATAAAAGCTGTGGGCTGGTTGCCTTTTCTGTTTTCTCCCTAGCTGCTTTTCCCGTGTCTTCCTCTGTCTCGTTTCCTGGCTTGGCTCCTCGGGTCCCTCCCTGGTTGCTTTCCCGTGGCTCCCTGGCTATGCTTCCCGTGGCATTTTCTTCTTGTTTCTGTGCAGATTTTGGGGGCTGTTTGTGGTGTCCTTTGGCCTTTCATTTCCCCAAACCTGATTGGTTTTGTGTTACGAGCGGACCGGTCCCTTCTGGACCGGTACGATGCTATTCCAGGCGGAAACAGCAAAAAGGGGCGGAACCCCCTGTGGACCCCACGGTTGCTGAAATTGATTTTGGGAGGGAGAATTTTGAATGAGGGGCTGTTTTAGGAAGTCCATTATGGTCCTTTATGATTAATTTGTATAATTAGGAGATTAGGGGGGAAAGAGAGATCATCTTGAATTTGAATTGTTTTGAGATCTAGCTTTTGGTGTCTTGGGCTCTTGGCTTCGCCGGAGAACTTTTGGAGAGTTTTTCCTTCCTCTCGAATTGAAGGAAAGCTGTATCTTGCAAGTGCTTTTCATCCGTTATCAAAATAAAAGTGTTTGCAGTGTTTTTCCTACGTTTTTCTCCTACGTTTCCTCTCAGATTTTCGTGCAGTTGGCTGTTTTTCTGCTGTGGACAGCAGTTTTCCGTTGGATCCTCTTGGTTTTGGTGTGAAACACTTGGAAATCCAAGTGTTTCCTATCAAATTGGTATCAGAGCATCGATTCGGGACCACCGGCGGCTGAAATTCTGAAATTTCAGCAAGTTCCTCGTGTCCATTGTTCTTTGGGCTGCTTGCTGTTTCACGATTTGGAGCATGGCTGCTCTCGGATTGGGCTTTTGCTGCTCTGGTTGTGAGCTGAAATGTTGTGATCTTCTTGGTGCTAGCTCATTAATGCTTGAGCTAATGTTTAGCTCATTATTTGGTGGAACAATTACACTCCCTAGCTTATTAATGCATAAAGGTATTCTTCTATATAGCTCATTATTGTGGAGTGGACTTGTGTCTCTTTCCCTTCTCTTTACCCCTTCGGTTTCTTCTCCTCTGGTGCTATTTCCGAAGTGTGGTTCATTCCCCTTGCTGTGCTAATTGCTCTCTGTTACCTGGCTGCCAATTGAGATTTCCTTTTTTTTACCGGTTCTGTTTCTTATTGCCCGTTGGGTCTTCTTTGTTTGCCGATTCTGTTCTTGGCTGCTGTCCCGTGGATGTTATAACCAGTTTCTGGGTGGTTTTTTTTTTTGGTTGCTTTGTGGTTGACCCTTGGTCTTTCATTTTCCCAAACCTGATTGGTTTTGGTTGGAGGTGGAATGGCTGTTTGGCTTCTTTCTTTTGCTTATAAATTGGAGATGTTTTGTGGCTGTTAAAGAGTTTTTAGGAGGTTGTTATGATGTTATTTTTGGAAGCCTAAACCTGCGGGTTTCGTCGTGGAAAAACTTGTGAGCTTGTTCCATTCCTCTCTTCGTCTAGGAAAGCTTGCGAGCTT